AGAGAGAGAGAGAGAGAGAGAGAGAGAGAGAGAGAGAGAGAGAGAGAGAGAGAGAGAGAGAGAGAGAGAGGATTCCTCCTCTTCTTCTGCTGCTTTCTTCTGTCCTCCATCACTCCTCCTCCCTCCCCTCCGGAGCTCTTCACCTTCTTCTGAGTATGAGGGAGTTGAGTTTGGGTGACATTGGACCGCAGACCGACATTGGGTAGGGATATTGGGAGACTGTGTGGAGACTTCACAAGTGATATTGAGTTTACGACATCTCCATTCCTTCTCCTCCTTGGTCTCTTCCCCCTCCTCTTCATCTGTGGACGATTGTTGACATGGCGCCCTTCGTCTGTGGATTGTGGATTGGGTGGCAGGGCCCCTCTCACCCTGACTGATGATGATGTGTGTGATGCAGTCATTGCAGTGAGTCCGTGTCCTTTGAGTCGGACCATGGTATATCAGTCTTCCACTGTGCTATTTGTGCTCTATCTCTTTGGGTCGTTTCTCGGTTCTAATCCTTGCCTTTAGGCATGCGACATCCGTGCGTGCAATACCTACGCCTATTGGGGCTGTGCTAGCTGAGATTTATGTTCTACCGGCCTAGAGGAGTATAGCCTAGCCTGAGTCTGCAGACCAAGTTTGAACCTGGAAGCAGACTGCAGACCTCCTGGAACCAGAAGGTCGCACGGTCCGGGCACCTCCAGTCAAAGTTTTGAACCTGGCACCAGACTGCAGACCTCCTGGAACCAGAAGGTCGCACGGTCGGGGGACCTCCAGTCCAAGTTTTGAACCTGGAACCAGACTGCGGACCTCCTGGAACCAGAAGGTCGCACGGTCGGGGGACCTCTAGTGCAAGTTTTGAACCTGGAACCAGACTGCAGACCTCCTGGAACCAGAAGGTCGCACGGTCGGGGGACCTCCAGTGCAAGTTTTGAACCTGGAACCAGACTAGAGACCTCCTGGAGCTTTCAGTATCTTATTGTTGAATAGCTTGTTCACCTCGGTTGGGATAGTATTCTGTTTTTCGTCCAATAGAACTGAACTTGAAAAGGAAAAGGTCGCATGGTCGGGGCACCTCCGGTCCAAGTTTTGATCCTGGAACCAGACTGCAGACCTCCTGCACCTGCAGTCTGGTTCCAGGTTCAGAACTTGACAAGACCAAAACAGCAATTGAAACTTCTGGAACGACAGCAACTACTCGAGCAGGTTTTGGGTTCGGATCCGGCTGCACCTAACAAGTTCGTTGTGTATTCTTACTTAAAACTACCAGTTTCTCTGAGGCCATTCCGGGTAAGCGAGTGGAAATGCGGAGGCTGTTTCTTTTGATACACTGGCCTGTTTGTGGCTGGTGCAATTCCTCCTTCC